TGCCAGACTAAGGAATTTGTATTATCCTGAATCAATGGGAAGACCAGTGAGATTCTGAGAATAACACAATCAGATCTGCGTTTTCAATGTGCAAAGCGTAAGTAGTGTTGCTATTCTGTCCACAGGTGAGAACGGGGAGGAGTTGGGGGGAGATATGAGGAGACGCAAATAACAAAATGTAAGAATCTTTTTGGATTTTTAAAATTACACACAGCACGGGGCGCGCGCGCGCACACACACACAAAGACTGACACTCATACACACACAGACACGCGCCCCGCGCCCCACACTGAAAATAAAGAATCAGCCTGTATGGAGCTCAGGTGTGGAGACAAAAATTATAATGACCACTGAGCCAAAAACTTCTTTTGTACAACCCTCTGGGCAGGGTCCTCCTTAGCGTTGTAATTCAGGACCTGGTACCAACAAAGTGCCAGTTTCACCTCTGCGGGAGGACCCAACTCTTCATAAATGGGCTGCTGTGAACGCTCAGGAGGGACTGCAGGGCGCGGGCACCGTCAGCTACACACGGCCTCCTAACTCCGGGGTCAAGGGGCACCTTGTAGCCTCCCCTGGCGCGGAGCCCACCACCGGCCGCAGGCGCCAACCATGCAGCGGAGGGAGGTCGCGAGCCGCCGGGAGGTGACCCCTGAGGGGACTCCCCTCGCAGCCGCTCACCCGGCGCACAAACGCGACCGCCCGGAGTGCGGGAACAAGCGCTTCTGGTGATAGGAGAAACGGGGCTCAGTCTCCGGGGGCCAGCGGGGGAAATCTAACCTGTCAGGGACAGAAGCCCCACGCTGCAGAAGGCGTGACGGTTCCTTCCGGACGTGGCGAGTGCGTGGGAAAAGCCCGCGGCGGGCCCGCCCAGCGCGGAGCAGTCGAGACTTCCGGTGTCTTCGCCTCGCGGGCTAGAGCGTCGGAACGCTCCAGCTGATGGCGGAGGGCCGAGCGAGGGTCTGCGAGCGGCTGGTCCCAGGCTGAGATCGCCTGGGCGGCCTGGCTTCAGGTTCCGGGACGTTCGGACTCGCCTTGGGAAGGAGTTCGTCTCCTCAAATCCCCACGTTTTGTGTTTATGCGTCCCGTTAGCCCCCAACATATACATTCAGTCCGGGAGGGCTTGCTGAGGAAGTTTAACCCGCTGGCTTATTGCTCCTCGCAAGTATCTGACGGTTCGGCCAACCTCCAAGGACGGGAAACCATGGTCCATCTGAGCCCCGTTCTGGCACTGAAGTCCATCTTGCCCTATTCGGCTGAGAAGTTTGGAAACACTAAATTTTATTTTATTCACCAAGTAGTTATGAAATGCCTGCTGTGCTCCAGGGAATGCAGGGGTAGGAAAAAACTAATGGTCTCTGTTTTTATGGAGCTTAGTGGTAAGATGGATAATAATAGTATTTACCTCACAGATTTGTCACGAGAATGTAAAGCATTTAGAATAGTCTGGCACTTTGTAAGTATTCAATAAGCGTTAGCTGTTATTTTCATCTTGCTAATTCCATTGCCATCATCACCACTATTATCATCATCATTTACATTTTTAATGTTAAACAAAGTCCAAGTACCTTTCTTCCACAAAGCAATGAGTCACACGATTGCTGGCTTACCTAAATTTGATGTGCTCCATAACCAGACTAATCAGGTTTAATACAAGGCAGTGGTCTTCAAACTCTTGATCACACATCCCTATGAGAAAAGAAGATTATATACGTGTACTATGTATGATATCGATATATATTATGCATACTGTAAGGTTTTCGCAAGAAATAGAACTTCAAAAAGGTGAAATAAAAATATTAATAGAAGTTCTATTATTTTCTACCCATGCAACAAATAGGTTGCCATGCATACATTCCATCACTTTGGAGTCGACTGGCTAAAACAGCACATTATCAAAGCGGCCTGTCATTAAATTATGGATCCCCAGAATAGCTCTTTTATAAAGAATGAATAGAAACTAATCAGATGTTGAGGTGCTTGAACTAGAAGGACTATTTGGATGGTTTCTTACATCAGAGGAAATTAAGAAATAAAATAGGCACCCAGGGGCTGGCCTGGTGGCGCAGCGGTTAAGTTCCCCACGTTCCGCTGCGGCTGCCCACGGTTCTCTGGTTCAGATCCCAGGAGCAGACATGGCACCACTTGGCAAGCCATGCTGTGGTATGCGTCCCACATATAAAGTGGAGGAAGATGGGCATGGATGTTAGCTCAGGATCAGTCTTCCTCAGCAAAAAGAGGAGAATTGGTAGCAGATGTTAGCTCAGGGCTAATCTTCGTCAAAAAAAGAAAAAAAAATAGGCATCCATTAAGTAATCTTCATTGATCTGACATTGATTATTGACTTCTTAAAATCCAAATAAAGAGACTGATTGCAATGTCTTACACCAAGCTGGAGATTTCATAGAATAAATCAAGTAACAAAAAGCTAATGAGGTTTTGTGTATATGTGTTTCATACAATATTCAAAATGAACCCTGGATCACTTAGCTCCTATACCATACCAGAAAGAGAAACGTGTTTACTTTGTAAAAAGAAAGCATCAAATAGACTTTGACCATTTGCTTGAAAACTCAGAATTTTACGTTTCTATCACTGGACTTAGATCCACTAAAGTTTTGATCTAAATTTTAAATATGGTTTTAATATGGTTTAATACTCTATAGTGAATAATGTTGGTATGTATTCGATATTTATTCCCCTCTTACTCCTTTGTAACAAAACTCACATTTTGTTCAGATAGCCACCCTATTCCCAACACTAGAAAATGATACTGATTAAATCTAAACCAATCACCATACAGAATTCCTTTAGGAATAGTTATTGGTTAAGGGATGAGCAAGTGGTGCTAGTTGGCTCAATCAGAATGAAGGAGAAGGACTTCCATTTCATGCTTAGGAGAAAGTTTCTAACACATTCTCCTCTTGACATGGAAACATCTAGCCTACACTGCTACTGCAGCTGTCTTCCCTACCACAAGGGAATAAAGCTGATGCTGAGGACAACTGAACAAAGTGATAGAAATATTATCCTAAGCCTGGAGCTCAACCTCTTTGTGAAATTCTTGTAGGGATATGTAGTGTCTCCTTATTGTTTTCTGATAGAGATAGTAAGATGAAATGAGTTAAAATAGTGCAGGTAATGTTTTAAGTACTCAAAAATGTTAGTTATTATTGTTAAGTAATCTTGAGACAACGATTCTATTTCTTATAGCCAAGAATATCCTGTCTGATTCATACTCTCTTTTCTGTATATTTAAGGAAAGAATCTATTTCTCTACCTCCCTCTTAACTTCTAAGGAGCCAGGGCAAGGGTAGGAGGTGGAAAGTGGAGGAGGGTTGGCTATAACGCTGTCTATGAGGGGTACTAGTAAGTGGTGAGATGGTCACTTTGAGAAATGCACTCAGTAACAGCAGGAGCCAATCCAGCATATCCAGTCTTTTGGCAGCAGCGTGGAACTATCAAATCTGAATGGAGTTACTATACATGGTAGTTTTTTATGTACATGGGCATATCATTTTCTGCATAGTAATATTTTACTCTGCCACCTTACTAAGTTGCCCTATTGTTTGGAGTTTATTCTTTTATATTTTCTAGGATTGCAATCATATCATTGAAACAGTGAGAGTTTTACCTAATCCTTTCCAAATTTTATACAGTCATAGATCGCTTACCGACAGGTATACATTCTGAGAAATGCGTCGTTAAGCAATTTCGTCGTTGTGCGGACATCATAGAGTGTACTTACACAAACCCAAACAGTATAGCCTACTACACACCTAGGCTATATGGCATCAATCTTATGGGCCCCCCGTCACATATGCAGTCCGTCGTTGACCAAAACCTCATTATACGTTGCATGACTTTACCTCTAATTTCTCATATCTAATTGCATTTCTAGTATTTTCAGTAAAAATATTTAATAATTGTGAAGACAGTGGGCTTCCTTGTCTTATTCCTGTCTTTAATGGAATATCTCTAGAATTTTCCCATTAAGCATGCTGCTACTTTAGGGGACTGAGGTAGATATCTATCATCATGTTAAGGACGTAGCCAGCTATTGAGAGAATAGGGAAGAATTAAACACAGAGCCTTTAAGAAAACAAAGCATTGAGCATGCCATTACATCTTGTCATAAAAGTAAACGCAAACCAGACAATATTTGCCTCAAGGACACTAATAAAATTAACTAGGTTGGGGTGAATGTTCTTTCTTACTTATCTTATATACTATCATCATGAAATTGAGTCCTGACTAGTTTGTTTACAAGAAAGTCCTCTGTGATATCCTGATTTTTTACCCTGGGAATGCTTTTTATTATCTTTTACAAAATGTCATCTTTAATCCAAAGTCTATGCTTGCTCTATGTTTGTCATAGGAAATTTCATGGATCTACTATAGTTTTGTTATAGGGAATTGTATCTGTTCAAATATGCTGGTTGTAAAAAATAGGGACAGTTATAATGATAAAGAGGTTAGGTCATCAAGAAGATATAACCATCCTAAATTTGTATGCAACTTATAGCAGAGGTTCAATATACATGAAACAAAAACTGAAAGGAGAATTAGAAAATTCAGCAATTGTAGTGGGTGATTTTAACATTCATCTCAGCAGTTGTTAGAACAACTAGACAAAAACATCAGTAAGTGGTTAGAAGATTGGAACAACATTATCAACCAACTTGACCTATCGATATTTACAGAACACACTGTAAAAAGCAAAATGTACCTTTTTTAAGTGTACAGAATATTCAGCTTTATGCTGGTTCACAAAAGGAATCTCAATACATTTAAATAGGTTGAAATCATACACAATATGTTATCTTATCACAATATAATTAAATTAGAAATAAGTAACAGAAAGCTATCTGGGAAAATTCTAAATATTTTGAAATTAAATAACACATTTCTAAATAACCCACAGGTCAAAGAAGAAATTGCAAGGGAAATTGAAAATATTTTGAACTAAATAAAAATAAAAACACATATTGAAAGGTGTGGAATGCAGTTAAAGCAGTGCTTAGAGGGAAAAATTATAGCCTTACGTGTTCATATTAGAAAGGAAGAAAAGTCTAAATTATTTAAGTTTCCACTTTAAGAAATTATTGGGAAAAACAAAAGTAGTAGAAAAGGAAAGAAAGATAATTTTGGAAATCAAATGAATAGAAAAGCTGTTCTTTTAAAAGATTAATAAAATTGGTAAATCTCTAGCTAAACTGATCAATCAAAAAGAGGTGGGGGGACACCAATAAGGGGTTAAATAAGGGGTTCTGCTTCCAGCAATAACCAGGTATTTCCTTTTGGACCAACCCTCCTACAGGGAAAAACTGCAAACTCTGGACCAAATAGAAAAAATATCTGAAGAGACGGGAGAACACCAAAAGAAGCCATTTACTAGAGAGGTGTTAGTGCTCGTGAGAAAGAAATGGGATTCAGTGAGTTTCCCACTTTTATGGCGTTTTGCTTGAGGGCGGGCCCCTGTTGTTGCCCTGAGACTTACTGGGTTGAAAAAGCAGAAGACAGAGTTTGGGACAACTAGAATAGCTGGAAAGTGGGAGAAAATCCAAGAAAGGAAATCCCCAAAAGGAGAGAAGTTAGAGAGGAAGAAGACCAAATTCTGTGTATAAACTGCCATATTTCTGGCTGACACCTGAAACGCACACATATGGAGCAGGTCTTTTGAACTCTCTAAGGCTGCAAAACTGCAGAGACATCAGGTGCTGCCCACCACAGGCAAGACTGGCAGATCTGAAAAGAGAAATAGACAGATTCACAATTATAATTGGATCTTTCAACACTCCCCTCTTGGCAATTAGTAGAAGCTCTACATAAAAATTTAGTAAAGTCATAAAAGATCTGAATAACATTATCAAGCACCTTGACCTAATTGGTATTTTACAGAATACTGCATTCAACTCCTGTAAAATACACATTCTTTTTAAATGTACATGATTTGTTCACCAAGATAGACCATACGTCAGGGTAGGAAACAAGTCTCAATCTTTTAAAAGACTGAAATCAGAGGGCCAGCCCCGTGGCCAAGTGGCTAAGTTCTCACACTCTGCTTCAGCAGCCCAGGGTTTCGCCGGTTCGGATCCTGGGCACGGACATGGCACCGCTCATCAGGCCATGTTGAGGCAGCGTGCCACATGGCACAACTAGAAGGACCCACAACTAAAATATACAGCTATGTACTGGGGGTATTTTGAGAGGAAAAAGCAGAAAAAAAAAAAAAAGAAGATTGGCAACAGTTGTTAGCTCAGGTGCCAATCTTTAAAAAAAAGATTGATATCATGCATTATGTTTTCTAACAATAATGGAATTAAATTAGAAATAAATAACAGGGGCTGGCCTGGTGGCACATTGGTTGAGTGCGCATGTTCTGCTTCAGTGGCCTGGGGTCCGCCAGCTCGGAGCCCGGGTGCAGACGTGGCAACACTTGGCAGGCCGTGCTGTGGTAAGCATCCCACATATAAAGTAGAGGAAGGTGGGCATGGATGTTGGCTCAGGACCAGTCTTCCTCAGCAAAAAGAGGAGGATTGGCAGCAGATGTTAGCTCAGGGCTAATTTTCCTCAATAAAAATAAATAAATAACAGAAAAATATCTGGAAAACCTCTAAATATTTGGTTGTATTTAAGGGGTAATTTAGAGCTTTAAATACTTGTTTTAAAAAAGAAGAAAGTTGTAAATCATGATCTAAATTTCCACCTCAAGAAGCTAGAAACAGTAGAGCAAGTAAAGGCAAGGAAAGTAGAAGGAAGGATATAATAAAGATAACAGCAGAAGTCAATGAAATAAAAGACAGTAAATTTACAAAACCAAAGACTAGATCTTTGACATATCAACAAAATCCATAAATTGCTAGCTAGACTGATCAAGAAATAAAGAAAACATGAATTAACAATATCAGCAATGAAAGAAGAGTCATTACTACAGATCGTACAAACATTAAAAATTCTGAAGATGGGATGAACTTTCCAAGATATCCTGAGATGAGGCCAGAGGTCAGTCATGGGATGTGGGCCACTCCAGCAAAAGAACATGACCCTGGGTGAGACCACGCTCTCCAACTGAGGCCGTTGCTGAAGGGAGCTGCTGGCAGGTGGAGTAATGATTTCATCATTCCAGGTTGTGTGACCCAACAACCACCGTCCACTTAGGAGGGGAAGAGAAACAAATTTGGAGAGAGTCAGGTTATATATAAGATTTATCAAGTTGCTCAACAAAAGAACAAGGAAAAAGTAAATTAGGTAAAGCTTCCTGGAAGATGTGCTAAAAAGACAGGATTTAGACAAAAGAAGAGAGGACATTTCCACCTGAAGAAATACTGTGAGGCAAAGCAGAGTTAAGAAAAGGAGCAGGGGCCGGCCCGTGGCCGAGTGGTTAATTTCATGAGCTCCGCTTTGGCGGTTCAGGGTTTCGCTGGTTGATATCCTGGGCACGGACATGGCACCACTCATCAGGCCATGCAGAGGCAGCATCTCACATGCCACAACTAGAAGGATGCACAACTAAAATATGTGCAACTGTGTACTGGAGGGATTGGGGAAGAAAAACAGAAAGAAAAAAAAGATTGGCAATAGTTGTTATTTCAGGTGCCAATCTAAAAAAAAAAAAAAGGAGCAGCTAATTTCTAAAATTATATAAACTTTACATGGATTTGCAAGTATGCTGTCTTTTTAAAACTTTCATTTTGAAATAATTATAAATTCACAGAAAGTTTGAAAAAGGGAGGTCCTGCATCCCTTCACCCAGTTTTCTCCAATGGTAACATTTTTTGTAACTATACTACAATATCAAAGTAGGAAATTTACCTTGGCATAATCCACCAAGCTTATGCAGATTTCACCAGTTTTCCATGCACTCATTTGTGTGTGTGTGTTCGTGTGCATGTATGAAGTTCTGTCCAATTTCATCACATGGTTAGATTCATGTAACCACCACCCCAGTCAGGATACAGGACAATTGCATCACGAGGATCCCTGGTGCTCCCCTTTCACAGCCAGGGTCATTCCTGTCTTTCCTGCCCCCTACCCTCTCTGTAACCCCTGTCGACCACTAATCTCTTCTCCATCTCTATAATTTTGTGGCAAGCATGCTGTCTTTTCCCTTAAATATATAGCTTTAATCATACCCAGTGTTATTTTGTGAGAAACTTAGTATCATCTTCAGCTTGGACTTTTAAAATTTCTCATGAATCTTTTCATTTAGTAGTCAGATTTTCCAAGACAATTTATACCAAGTTAATTACAAACCAACTGTCTTTAAATTTCTATTGTCCAATTCTTCTTCCCTCTTACTCTGGAAGATGATTTTGTCAAACACTTTACAAAGCAACTGTGACCATCAGGTGGGAGTGGTTTTTGTCTTTGCTTTAAAAACTTACTTTCAGTGTATCTTTGTTGATCCTTTCTTCCACTGCTAAGGCACAGGTATTCTTCCTCATCTCTGGTATTTATTGTGGAAACTTTTTCTTTTTCTTTTTTTTCCGTAAAGATTGGCACCTGAACTAACATCTATTGCCAATCTTTTCTTCTTCTTCTACTCCTCCTGCTCCCCCTCCCCTCATTTCCCCTGCTCTTCCCCCTTCTTCTCCTCTCTCACCCCAAAGCCCCCCCAGTACATAGTTGTATATTCTAGTTGTAGAAACTTCTGGTTGTACTATGTGGGACGCCACCTCAACATGGCTTGATGAGCAGTGCTAGGTCTGCACCCAGGATCCAAACCAGCAAACCCCTGGGCTGCCAAAGTGGAGCACGCGAACTTAACCACTCAGGCATGGGGCTGGCCCCTTATTGTGGAAACTTTTTCTGAAAATACTGTATTCCTTCCTTCTCTAAGATTGTTATCTGCCCCTGCACCACTGCTGCCCCTTTTAACTGCTGCTTTTATGTGTGTGCATATTTTTAACCTTATTACAAATCAATATTGATTGCATATCCAGGTCAGACTAAGTTCCTAGCCACAAAGGAGTCTTATCCAAGCAAGCAAGATGCAACCTATGCTAAGAGCTTAAATTCAGCAAGAGCACACCAGTGCAGCCCTATTGGTTGCCAGATATCAAAATACTTCTGTACTAGTTGATAAATAGGTGATGCCATAAGACCCTGCGGCTGCAACCCCACAACCACCACCTTAGGCACAACCAGGTTCCATCTCTGAGACCCACCAAACATCCATCCCTATGATCCAGCAACAGAAGCTGTCATGATATTTCAAAACATCGCTCCATCCTCTACCACTAAACACCATAAAATGTGATAAAATGCTGTATTGGTGATCTAAACACAGTGTTACAAGATCTCAGAGAATGCAGTGCTCATTGACAACAGCCGATAGGACGAAGAGAGACAAGAGAGCATCCAGAAAAAGTTTACAGAGTATATTGGTGCTTCTCAACTTTTGATAAATAGTAATAAATGGTGTTTATTAAGTGCTTACTATGTCATAAGCTCTGTGACAAATACCTTTTACACATATTTAGTGCATTTATTCCTCACAAAACTTCAAGCCATATTTATTTATAAGTCCGTTTTAGGGATGAGCAGTGTTGATCTTCAGCCAATTCACAGTGGTCCAGCTGAACCAGTTATTCAAAGCCATCTGTTTTGATTGTTCATAGCATTTGTTGTGCTCAGTCAGCACCTGGACTATATCAGTTATTAAGAATTTTGGACATCATCCCTACAGAGAACAAAGCAGACTAAGGATAAATCAGCTGCACAAGGTCACATCATAAACAGCAGAACTGGGGTTTCAATTCAAGAGTGAGTAAAGTTGATGCTCTAAACCTCTCTCTTAACCATATTTCAAGTATGAAGACAACTCTAAAAAACTTTCATAATATGTTTTTTCTCTTTATATCTTCTGGGAAAATGATAGCGGTACCATATGTTTTTTAATCTCTCTAAAGCCTCCCATAAAAACAAACAGGAAATAGGGTAGGAAAGTCAAAAACCTACAGACAACATCAACAACAAAGTAGGTTGACAGGGTATTCCCGCAAAGTCTCAATTTTGAGTGGGTAGGCATCAAACGTCAACAGTAACAAAGCTCACTCGTGTCAGCAGCTGTGCAGGAGGGAGCAGAGAAGAGACAGAGGGTCTTCTGATAGCCGTGGGAGCTCAAGAGCCCCCATTACCGTAGGTATTCTCGGAAATGCTCACAAGGCCCATCTGAGAACAGCCAAAACTGAGTGGAGCTTTGCAGACTCCAAGTCGCAAGTAAGAGCAGGAGGGCTGGAGTGGTCTGAGCCTGTGAACTCTCAGTTCTAGGGGACCAAAGGTTTCTTAGAGGACAAAGCCCACAATAAGGAGAAACTGCTGGAAGGAGAATTGAGCAGAGCCAATTGAGCAGGTCAGGAACAGTGAGGAAACAAGGTACGATCACAGCGGGAGGAGGAGTACTTTATGAAAACACCAGGAGAGGGAGCTCTAGAACTGAGGAGTGAGGACAGTGCGTACCTTATCTCCTCCACTAGTAGGGAAATGCCTCACTGAAACATGAGCAAGCAAATATATTGCACAATTGAATCTCACCCAAAGTTACTATGAGAAGAAGAGAGTAAGGAGCAGAATAACGTCCCTCTAGACAATGAAGGCACACTAAAAAGACATGCCCACAAATAGATAGAAACATCTCATATTCCAAAATTAGCCAAAAAATGAAATATTAGCCAAAACCTTCCGAATCTGATTAAAAACAATAGCAAAAGCAGTAACGTACAGATACAGGAAGCTCAGCAATCCCCCAGAACCTTCCGAAAACCACACTTAGGCACGTTATAATAGAAGGGCTAAAAACCCAAAGAGAAAAAATCTTAAAAGCGGAGAGATGAAGAAAAGGACACAAGTGTAAGAAGGAGGGCAGGTTTCTCTTCATAAACAATGGAGGCCAGAAGAAAATGAAACATCTCTAATGTGGTGAAAGGGAAGAAACCGTCAACCTACAATTCTAGATTCATATTTTAGTATATGTGCTGCCTAACCGGGCACTTTAGATTCATATTTTAAACTTCCTATGAAACACTTTTGAAAGGAAATACAAACTGAATTTATAGAATTTTTTTTAAATGGCAATGAAATCACTGCATACTGAAATCTACGGATGCATGTAAAGCAGGGATCAGAAGAAAATTCATTGCACTAAACACTATTATTAATCAAAATTAAAATAAATGAATTAAATTCCCAGATAAAAAATAAGAAAAAAAACAATAAAGCGGGGGCCGGCCCAGTGGCACAGAGGTTAAGTTCACGCACTCCACTTTGGCACCCTGGGGTTTGCCGGTTGGGATCTCAGGCCCAGACCTATGCACCACTAATCAAGCCATGCTGTGGTATGCGTCCCATGTATAAAATAGAGGAAGATGGGCGCAGATGTTAGCCCAGAGCCAATCTTCCTCAGCAAAAAGAGGAGGATTGGCAGTAGATGTTAGCTTAGGGCTAATCTTCCTTAAAAAAAGAAAACAATAAAGCAAACCAAAAGAAAGCAAAAGAAGGAAATAATGAAGATAAAAGCAGAAATGAATGAGGTAGAGAATAGAAAAGCAGCAGGCATAATTAATAAAATCCTATTTTTAACAGCTTTATTGAAATGTAATTAACTATAATTCACCCACTTAGATGTACAATTCAATGGCTTTTAGTATATCCACAGAATTGTTCAACCATGACCACAATCAATTTTACAACATTTTCATCACCCCGAAAAGAAACCCCACACTCCTCGGCTGTGACTTCCCAATATCCCCAGCCACTCTCCCAGCCCTAGGCAACCAATAATCTACTTTCTGTCTCTGTAGATGTGTCTATTCCAGCCATTTCATACCAGAATCATACAACATGTGATCTTTGTGACTGGCTTCTTTCACTTAGCATAATATTTTCGATGTTCATCATGATAATAAAATGGTTTATATAATCTATAGATTAAAAGAGAAATAATCAGAGAGAGTGAGATAAAATTATGCATAGAGATGTTGACTGTCGCATTCTTTATAATAAGAACTAGAAAATTGTCAAAATATCCAACAGTAAAAAAATAATTGTTGACCTAGCATATCCTTGACAGAAGATGACACTGCCATTAAAAAATTTAAAAATATGAAATGAAATATGCACAAAGCTACTTATTTTAGCACTATTTGTATTAGTGGAAGACTGGGTCTTACTCAAATATCTTATTAACTGGAGACTAGTCAAATAAATTATGATACATCTATTCAATGGAGTTCTGTGCAGCTGTAAAAAGAAATAATGAAGATCTCTTCATTGGGCCATGGGGTGATCTCCAGGATGTAGTGTCAATTTTGTATAGGAAATGGGGGAGGGGGAGAGAGAGATGAATATGTATTTTGGGAAAAGATAGATAAAATCTAATCATTTTAAAGCAAGTCGGGAAGGAACAGAGGAAAGGAAACAAGGATGAAAGCTAGGCATCTGAATACACCAGATTTTATTTGTTTATTTATTTATTTGTTTATTGTAAAGATTGGCACCTGAGCTAACAACTGTTGCCAATTTTCTTCTTTTTTTTTCTTTCTGCTTTTTCTCCCCAAATTCCCCCAGTATATAGTTGTATATATATTTTTTTCAGTTGTGGGTCCTTCTAGTTGTAGTATACCAGATTTTATAGTTTTTATTTTGGAAACAAGCATATATTATACATAATGAAAAATCAAAATTAAATTTTAAAAAGAAAACTCATTCAAAGCAAAAATTCAACAAATGAACCTAACTGTACAAAATTAGTGGTATAACCACTTTGAGAAAAATTATCATGACTTTAAAGCACTATATTTTGACTGTACATCTGAAGACAAAAATTACCTGCAAAGAAGTCCTACACTGGATTCAGTAGCTTTGTATTTGTACTAATATTGCTATTTTGAAGCTATTACAATAATTTATATATATAATATTTAATGTCTATGTGTGTGTTTTAGAATAAAATCAAATAAGTAAGTACGTTGGTGTTGTGGGGAACCAGTTTTTTCACAACAAGAAAATGAGATGCAGGGGCCAGCCCACTATAGTGGTTAAGTTCACACATTCTGCTTCCACAGCCCAGGGTTTGCAGGTTTGGATCCCAGGCACAGACTTACACGCTGCTCATCAGGCCATGCTGTGGCGGCGTCCCACATACAAAATAGAGGAAGACTGGCACAGATGTTAGCTCAGGGCCAATCTTCCTCACCAAAAATAAAAGAAAAAAGAAAAAAAGTAGTAAAGTCCAGTTTTCCAATGCAAGTGATAGGAGATGGATACATTTCCATACATGGCTTAAATCACAATTAAGATTTGAATTTGGAAAGACAACGAGTAAGGACAAGCCTAAATGTACAAAGTCATGAAAATCACGAAGAGGTTAATACTTTACCACGTCCTGAGGTCCCAGAATTGAGGGGGCAACCTTGAAACTTGAAGGAGGAGTGAACTGGCTGAGAGTGACAAACTGATGACGATCTTAATGACTAAGCATATTGCCAGGTAGTTGGAGAGCAGAAGAACTGGGCCAGCAGAGATTTGCCACACACGGGTCTGGCAGATTGGTTGGGTTCATAGCCAAGAATTTAAAAGTAGAGGGAAGAGTAGAGCTGGCGGATGCCAGGAGCATCTGCCCTAATGAAGTCAGCACTCTCACTAGAGCCAAAAGGAAGTCCGAGTTAGGGGTTGGAGGTACAAGACACTGAAAGGAGGTAGCTAATACTGATTGCTTAGCAGGCGTTGTCCTCAGAGCTGGTGCATGAACATTTAGTGTTTCTACCTACCCCCGATCCACTCCTCCTCCTCTTGATACTGTTCCAGTATCTCTCAAGACAACTGCCTCCTCCTACTCAGTCCACATGCTTTGTCTGGAGCATAGGTCCTAGTCCTCCCAGATCAAATCACGGCAATCCTCTGCGTTTGTGACGGACCCGGAGAAGGGTGTGTAATCTACTTAGAATCAAGGACTTTATGGGGCTCTGAGAGTAAAGCAAGATACTGTTTACCACTGGTCTTGAACTTGAGAGGATATGAAAAAATGCCTCTTGTGGCCATCAGAGAGATTCTGTCCAGGGACTGAGCCAACAAGGACTAGCTGACAGAGGTAGACAGAGAAACCAGGTTCTGGAACTTAATTTGCAGATGTGAGTCCAGCTGTTCCTGGAACCAATGCTAAAATACTACCTTTAGAATTTTGTTATTGTCACAAGCCAATACATGCCCTTTTTGTTTTAAGCCATGGTAGATGGAGTTTTCTCCCACTTTCAACAGAAAACTATGTAATACTGCTAGACACTTTACATACAATATATCATTTAATTTCACAATATTTGTGTGTCATAGGTATTATTATACCAGTTTTATACAAATGAGGTAACTGAACATGCTTTGATCGGCTCTAAAATGAACTTATCACAGGTGAGGCTAAGGCTATAGGAACCTTTGTATTGGGAAAGGCATAGGGAAATAGAAAACTCAGTGGTTTAAATAGAGGTTTCCCAAATCTTTAACAGCTCCAATCAGCTCAGTGATTCTGCATTTCCAGTAAGGGACCAGAAGTAGGCTTCAGCATCTCTGAGTTTTAAAATCATACAGATTTTGACATTAGGATGGAATAAAATGCAAATAAAAAAATACCTCTCACTTGCAAACTATCTGCAATGGAGCAAAATGAATTTATAGGCAACTTGCTGATTCTGGGAAAGAGGGTGATCCTGAAAGGGTTCCATCTGGCAAGGGGTAGTAAATGGAGCCTAATTGAACAGTTCCTATTATAACATTTCGACATGTACATACATTATCTTAATTTTTGACTGGGATTTTCATAAACTCTTTGGAGATGACCATCACTGAGGACCTCTCTCCAGCAATTCTCCTGCCCTGAGCAGACGTACTGTGACCCCTTCCGCAGCCCCTGCAAATCTGACATTAACCTCCAGCTTCTTGCTGAGGGGATTCCTCTGCCCTCCCAGGCAGCTTTATGGACTGGACCCAAGGGGACTCTCTCTCCTGCATGGCCTACACCTGATCCATTGGAAACACAAATGCATCACCTGATCCATTGGAAACACAAATGCGTCCTGTGACTCCTCCTTCATTGTGTGCTGACCGCCTCCAGCACAGCAGCACGCTGCTGGCTCTGCCACCCTAGCTGTCTGCAGCCTGTCTCTCCCAGGTGGGAGGCAGATGACAGCCCAGAGAGTCTCCCAAGTGTACTGACTCTTACCAAGTTCCTCAACTAGTCTTCTGGAAGCCTGTAGGCATGACATGAGGGAAATAGGCTGGAGCTTCACTCCGATGGGGAGGAGAAGAACTCACAGCACAGCAAGAATTCATCAAAGATTTCGTCACCAAATCCTGTCTCTACTGTGATGCCTTCTTATATCCTTGGAGATCTAAAAAAAAAGAGCAAAGAGAATGACAGAGACATGGAGCTGGAGCCTAGCATACTTCCTTATTGTTTAATGCTGTTTGAGTGGGGGTTTTCTGTTACTTGTGGCCTAAGGCAGCCTGTGACTGCCCCTCAACCTACCACAAAGTCCTTTGGTTTAGAGAGAGTTACTACTTTGTACAACGGGAAGATCTTACACAAAAAAGGAGTGGAAACTGAGCATAAAATCAGTCTTCACAAGGATTAAGATATATAAACTAACACATTCATAACACATCATTACAAGAAAGTTAGAGTGTTGGCAGCTCCATCCTTACACTCTACACTCAAGGACATGTGTGGCCCCGCTCACAGGCTTTCCCAAAGTTCCTCTGGGTATGCTAGTCTGATTCAGCAAGTGAACATCTGTGGGTCTTGCCTAGCCAGCATCTCTTCTCCTAGTAAAAGAATCCAGCATTTCATTTCGGGGAATTACCTCTTCTCCATGTGGTTTGTTTGAAGTGATCTCACATTTAGACCCAAGGGTTTGAATTGTGGTTGAGGCCTTGCCAGTGAAAATATGACATCCCTTTTGCGGCAGTTATTTTTTCAAGAAAGGCGATCTCATGGCCCAAGAGGCAGGAGTAGGGAGGGGTAGGGGCAGGTGGATGGAAGAGACAGATTATCAACAACAAGCATAATAAATAAATAAATAATAGAGTGTATTAGAAGGTGACAAGTGCTATGGAAAGAAATAGAGCAAACTAAGGAAGTCAGGAGCAGGGCAGGTGGTAATTTTGAATGGAGTGGTCAGGGTAGTTCTCATTGACGTGGAATTTGAGCAAAGATCAGGAAGAGTGGAAATTAGACATGCATTCCAGAGAGGGACCAGCCAGTGCAAAGGCCCTACAGGAGAAGACTTCCTGCATTGTTTGAGGAATAGCAAGAAGGCCAGAGTGACGGGACCAGAGTGAGCCAAGGGGAGAATAGTAATAGATGAGGTTGCGGGAGTATTGGAAGAGCAGATCATGAAGGGCCTTGTAAGGGCTTTGAATTTTACTCTGAATTAAATGGAAACTATAGGAAGGTTTGAGCAGAGCAGGCACACGATCTTTCAATTTTTTCGAAGTCACTCTGGCTACTGCATGGGGATAAACAGCAGGAAGACCAGGGAGGAGACTGCTTCAGTGACTCAGGCGAGAGATGATGGAGGTATGGGTAAGAAGTAATCAGACTCTAGAAATTCTAGGAAGGTCCAGCCAACAGAATTTCCTGACTCATGGATGTGGGATGTGAGAGAAAAATGAGTCAAGGATAACACCAAGGTTTTTGGCATAAACAACTGGAAGGATGGAGTTGCCAATGGTATGAGAATTATAAGTTTTGGGGAAAAGATCAGGGGCATAGATGTGAACCTGTGAATACTGACATGTATTGCAGATATCCAAGAGGAGATATTAAGCAGACAGCTGAATAAAGGAGTATGGAATTCAGGAGACAGGTATGGGCTGGGGATTAAAATTTAAAGCCAAGATAAAAAGACTTGCTTTTGAGCCAGCCCTGATTGTCTAGTGATCAAAGTTCAGCGTACTGCACTTTGGTGGCCTGGGTTCAGTTCCCAGGTGTGGAACCACACCACTCATCTGTCGGTAACCATGCTGTGGCTGTAGTTCACACAGAAGAACCAGAAGGACTTACAACTAGAATATCCAATTACTGGGGCTTTGGGGAGGGAAAAAAAAAGAGAGAGGAAGATTGACAACAGGTGTTAGCTCAGGGAAAATCTTTTTCAGCAAAAAAAAAAAAAAAAAGGACTTGCTTTCTCTCTCCACACCCAACAATCTCCCTTCGTTAAGCAGGCTTGTCAGGTCATAGGATAAAGGGTGAGAACTCTGTTGAGGGAAATGCCAGTCAACCTTACAGGTCAGAGCCCTGATTCTGGAAAGATGGTGGAGTAGGAAGCACCAGAAATCTGTCTCCCCACCTGGACAACCATTGCACTGGCAGAATCTGTCTGAAGTAACTATTTTGGAATTCTGGAGTCTGTTGAAAGCTTGCAACTTCCAGGAAGAAGACTTGATTGGTAAATTGCCATTAATTTCAGTCAATTTCAGCTCTTAGGACAGTAGCAACTTCCCATCCCCCATCCCCAGCTCACAGCAGGCAGCTGCACATGTGTTCCTTGCAGGAGCCTCTCCTCAGGGATCTGTGCACTGATCACTGATTGCTGCTTATGATCACAGAGGTGCAGACAAAGAATTGGGCAGCCATTGTCATTGCACCTCTCATTGTTGCAACCCCCTCCTCCTTAACTCAAGTGACTTCCAGGGGATTTAGAGGGCCAATGCCCTTCCCCCTCTTTTGTTTTTTGCTTTTTCCCCTTTTAGGAGCCAGACTAAAGACTAGAACATAAAAACAACTGCATATATGAGGAAAATTAGAAAGTGACCCTGCATATAAAGATCTCAATAGGGGCCAGCCCCGTGGCCAAGTGGTTAATTTTGTGTGCTCCGCTGCAGGCGGCCCAGTGTTTCATCAGTTGGAATCCTGGGCACGGACATGGCACCGCTCATCAAGCCACGCTGAGGCGGCATCCCACATGCCACAACTAGAAGGACCCACAACTAAGAATATACAACTATGTACCAGGGGGCTTTGGGGAGAAAAAGGAAAAAAATAAAGTCTTAAAAAAAAAAGAGGAGATTGGCAACATGTTAGCTCAGGTGCCAATCTTTAAAAAAAAAAATCTCAATAAAGGTAAATATAGGAAATTATAAAAGTTGTTATAACAATGGTTTGTAATTGCACTTTTTGTTTTCTACATGATTTAAGAGACTAACATATTTTAGGAAAAAATTATTATTAGTGTAAAAGCTGCTATTACTGTAACTTTTGGTTTGTAACTCCAAATCTTATTTTCTACATAATTTAAAAAGATTATTAGTTTGTGTTTTGGAGCACATGGTGTAGAAAGATAGAATTTTGTAACATCGACAAATGAAAGAGGTGAGGAAAGGTCTGTCAAGGAGCATAGTTTTTGTATCTTATTGAAGTTAAGCTGGTGTAAATTCAAATTAGAGTGTTATAATTATAGGATGTTAAATGTAATCTCCATGGTAACCACAAAGAAAATAGCTATAGAATATACACAAAGGAAATGAGAAAGGAATTTAAACATTTCACTACAAAAAGTCAACTAAAGAAAAAAGACAGTAATGCAAGAAATGAGGGACAAAGAAAGCTGTAAGGCATATAGAAAACAAACAGCACAATGACGGAAGTAAGTCCCTCTTTATCAGTAATTACTTTAAATGTAAATGGATTAAACTTTCCAATCAAAAGACAGAAATTGACAGAATGGATAAAAACACATGATCCAACTACATGCTATCTACAACAGACTTATCTGAGATCCAAAGACACAAACAGGTTGAAACTGAAAGGATAGAAAAAGATATTCCATGAAAACAGTAACCAAAAGAGAGCAGTGGTGATTATAACAATATCAAAGAAAATAGACTTTAAATGAAAAGAGTTTATAAGAGACAAAGAAGGACATTATATATTAATAAAAGGTTCAACACAGCAAGAAGATATAATAATTATAAACACTTATGCATCAAGTGACAGACCATTAAAATATATGAAGCAAAAACTGACAGAATCGAAGGGAGAAATAGTTCTACTGTAATAATTGAAGACTTCAATATCCCACTTACAGTAATGGGTTGAACAACCAGGCAGAATATAAGTAAGGAAACAGCGGACTTACACAACACAATAAACCAACTAGATCTAATATACATACACAGAACGCTCTACTCAGCAACAGCAGAGTACACATTCTCCTCAATTGGACATTTTTTAGGATAGACTATATGTTAGGCCACAGATTAAGTCTCAATTATAGATTATTATTAAATCTATTTAATCTATTATTATAGATTAAAATAATAGATATATCATACAAAGTATCTTCCCTGACCACAATGGGATGAAATTAGAAATCAACAACGAAAAGAAAACAGGAAAATTCACAAAATTGTAGAAATTAAGCAATGCACGTTTAAACACCCATTGGATCAAAGAAGGAAATACAAAGGGAATTAGAAAATACTTAGAGATGAATGAAAGCAAAAAGCCAACATTTCATAACTTATGGGATGCAGCAAAAGTGGTGCTAAGGGGGAAATTTATAGCTATAAATGCTTACGTTAGAAAACAAGAAAGGTCTTAAATCAACAACCTAACTTTACAACCTAAGAACTGGAAACAAAAGAACAAACTAAACTCAAAGCTAGAAGAGAAATGAAATAAAGATTAGAACAGAGATAAACAAAATAGAGAATAGAAAAACAATAGGAAAAGTCAATGACACCAAAAGTTGGTTCTTTGAAAAAATCAGCAAAACTGACAAACCTTTAGCTAAATGGACAATGAAAAAAAGAGAGAAGACAAATTACTAAAATCAGAAATGATAGTAGGGATGTTACTACTGATTTTATTTCTAAAAGGATTAACAGAAAGTACTGTGAAAAACTGTTTGCCAAGAAATCAGATAACCTAGATGAAATGGACAAATTCCTAGAAACACAAAACCTACCAAGACTAAATCATGAAAATATAGAAAATCTGAATAGACCTATAACTAGTAAGGAGATTGAATCAGTAATCAAAAATCTCCCCACAAAGAAAAACCCTGGACTGTATAGCTGCGCTGGCGAATTCTACCAAACATTTAAAGAAGAACTAATACCAATCCTTCTCAAATTTTCCAAAATAATTAAAGAGGAGGGAACACTTCCTAAGTCTTTCTATGAGGCCAGTATTACCTTGATACCAAAGTCAGACAAAGACATTATAAAAAAACTACAGATCAATATTCCTTATGAAGATTGATGCAAAAACACTCACCAAAATACTGGGAAACAGAATTCAGCAGCATATTAAAAGGATTATACACCATGACCAAGTGGGATGAATCAACATATGAAAACTGATCAATGTAATGTGCCACATCAACAGAATGAAGGACAAAAAAATACATGATCACCTCAAGTGATGCAGGAAAAGCACTTGGCAAAGTTCAGCACTCTTTCATGATAAAAACACTCAACAAAGTAGGAATAGAAGGAAACTACCTCATCATAATAAAAGCCATATATGAAAAACTCACAGTGAACATCATACACAATGGTGAAAAACCGAAGGCTTTTCCTTTAATGTTAAGAAGAAGGCGGGGCGGCCCAGTGGCACAGAGGTAAAGTGCGCATGTTCCGCTTCAGCAGCCCGGGGTTCGTCAGTTCGGATCACAGGTGATGTGATCTAATATGTAGAAAACCCTAGAGATTCCACAGAAACTATTAGAACCAATAAATGAATTCAGCAAAGTAGCAGGATACAAAGTCAACACACAAAAATCAGTCGCATTTCCATACACCAACAATGAACAACCCGAAAAGGAAATTACAAAAACAATTCCACTCATAACAGCATCAAGAAGAATAAAATACTTAGGAATTAACTTAACCAAGGAGGTGAAAGACTTGTATAACCAAACTAAAAAATATTGCTGAAAGAAATTAAAGACATAAATAAATGAAAACACATCTCATGTTCATGGACTGGAGGACTGAATATTGTTAAAATTTCAATACCTCCCAAAGTAATCTACAGATTCAATGCAAACCCTACAAAAATCCCAATGGTGTTTTTCTTCCCCAGAAATTAAAAAAATATATATTCTAAAATTTATATGGAATCTCAAGCGACCCCAAAATGCCAAAACAATCTTGAAAAAGAACAAAAATGGAGGACTCACACTTTCTCAAGACTTATCAAAAAGTTAAAGTAATCAAAACAGGATGGTACTGGCATAAAGACAGACATAACAACCAGTGGAATAGAATAGAGAGCCCAGAAATAAATCCTTGCATATATGGTCAAATGATTTTTGACAAGGGTGCCAAGACCATTCAATGGGGAAAGACAGTCTATTCAACAGATGGTGCTGGGAAAACTGGATCTCCACGTGCAAAAGAGTGAAGTTGGATCCTTACCTAACACCATAGACAAAAATTAACTCAAAATGGATCAAGGACCTAAAGGTAAGACCTAGAACAATAAAACTCCTAGAAGAAAACATAGGAAAAAACCTTCATGACATTGGATTTGGCAATAATTTTTTGGAGATGACACCACAGGCATAGGTAACAAAAGTAAAAATAGACAAATTGGACTTCGTGAAAATTTTAAAATTTGTGCATCAAAGACACTATCAAGAGAATAAAAAGGCAACCCGTGGCATAGGAGAAAATATTTGTAAATCATATATCTGATAAAATATTGATATCCAGAATCTATAGAGAACTCCTAAAACTCAATAACAAAACACCAAACAGCCTGATTAAAAAATAGACAAAGGGCTTGAATAGATATTTCTCCAAAGAAGAGATACGAATGGCCAACAAGCACCAATTATTAGGCAAATGCAAATCAAAACTACAGTGAGATACCACCTCACACTCATTGGGATGGCTATTATCAAGAAAACAGAAAAGTGTTAGCAAGGATGTGGCGAAACTGGAACCCTTGTGGGAATGTAAAGTGGTATAATCACTACGGAAAATAGCGTAGTGGCTCCTCAAATAATTAAAAATATAACCACCAAATTATCCAGCAATTCCACTTCTGGGTACATACCCAAAAGAATCGAAAGCAGAGTCTCAAAGAGGTATTTGTACACCCGTGTTTGTAGTAGCGTTATTCACAATAGCTAAACCATGGAAGCCACTCAAGTGTCCAGCAACGCATGAATGGGTAAGCAAAATGCGGTATATATGTACAATGGAATATTGTTCCGTCTTTAAAAAGAAGGAAATTCTGTAATACGTTACATGGATGAACCTCGAGGACATTATGCTAAATGAAATAAGCCAGTTACAAAAAAGACAAATATTGTAAGATTCCACTTTTATGAGGTACTTAAGAGTAGTCAAATCATAGAGACAGAAAGAATAATGGTGGTTGCCAGCGGCTGGGGGCAAGAGATAATGGGAAATTATTGTTTAATGGGTATAGGGTTTGTTTTACAAGATGGCAAGAGTTAGGAGGATGGATGGTGGCAATGGTTGCACAACAACGTGAATGTATTTGATACCACTGAACTGTACACTTAAACATGGTTAAGACGGTAAATTTTATGTTATGTGTATTTTACTGCCAAAAAGAAAAAAAAAAAGCTTGGCTGTCTACTCACTCTGATTCAAAAAGGACCTAGCAGGTTCCACGTGGTGGGAGTAGGGCGTAGGAGATGGCTGCGATGCCCCCCACCACGTGTGGGCAGAACACACCGGCACAGCCAGGCCGCCTCCACTGGCCCAGGGACCCCTCCCGTCGGCAGGCGCCCACTGCCCACTCGCGCTGCCAAGCGGAGCGCAGGGAACAGGGCAGGAGCAGGGCTGCAGCCAAGAGCCCGGGCACGCTCACAGCCAGTTCCGCGGTCCCGTACCCGGGCACAGCGCTAGCTCTGGGCCCTCCCAGGAAGGGGCATGAGACCCGGCCCCGGGTTCTCACAGCCCGGCAGCGCTCTCCTCCCGCCCCCGCCTCCCCCGCGCGTCCCCGCATCCTCCGGCCGGGCGGCCAATCCGCGCCGGGCTCCCGCCCCCGTTCGCAGGGCGGGCCGCGGGGAGCCCAGAGGCTGCGCCCCGAGCTCGAGCTTTGTGCCCAGCAGCAGGTAAGGTGCGCGCAGGGGCGTGGGGTCGCGGGCTGCTGCTATAAAACTCCGGGGCGGGCGCTGGAAAGCCGATGCCAGCGGGAGGCGGGCGGCCGCCCTGGGGCCCAGGCCCGCGGCGCCGAGCACCCGCGCAGCCTCTCCGCCCGCCTCGCCCCGCGTGGGCCCGGCGGGGAGGCGGCGGTCGGGGATCGCGCCGTGCTGCCCCGGGAGGAGCTTCTCAGATAAACCAAGACAGACTATTTAAAAAGTTAAATCTGTATTTCATTTAAAAAATGCTTCTGGTTTCGGTTTTTTTTGTCGACAGAAGTCGGCTGATGCTGCGTAGGTGCAGGCGTCGTCCGGGCGGCCGGGGCTGCGCGATGGTCCTGTCGCGGCATCTCCGGCGCGGGGAGACAGCTAGGCCCGGGCAGCCGGGCGTGCGGGGCTGGGCCGCTGCGCCCCGGGGCGCGTCGGGCGCACGTCCCTTCGCCTCTCCCGGCCGCACTTTCCTCCTTGGAAACTAAAAATATTACATATTGGGTTACATGAGTTAAGTGCATTCCAAAAAAAAAAAGAAAACTAACGCTGAGCTCCCAGCAACAGAGTCATATATACACGGATATTTCAAGGTACAGATACCCTGATTGTTTCACAAAGGAATTAAGATAGTTTACAGCAAAATCACATACAACAGTAACAAATGGATATAAAAAAATATAACCAGATATTGGGAGCAGAGACAACGTTAAGAACAGAGAAAAATCCCAAGAGGAAAAAGAACTTTCGGTGATAATGGAAATATTCTGTATTTAATTAACTTAGTTAAATAACCACGTGTGTCTAATGACTACCTTATAGGACAGTGCAGATCAATTGTTTTTGTAGTTGAGTCTCAAATTTGTCTCTAGGAAGGTCAACTTGGTCAGTTACATCGTTCTTATTTGAAAGTAAAGTATACTAGCGACTTCATTCATTCATCCGTCAGATATTAACGGCCTTGGAGGAAGCGGAGCCTTTCCTGATAATCAGCTATAAGGACAGTTTTCTGTGGGTTTCATTATTAGAGCACCCTGACATAGTGCCGTGGGAAGGCTATTCAGTTGAGGAATTGGGGCTGGGAGAGATGGAGTCGGTAAATATGGCATAATTTATAACTTTTTAAAGAGTTTTGAATATTTATACAAATGTTAACTAACCTTTATAGCAAAATTTAAAATATATAGATAAGCAAAAAGAAACTAAATCACTAAAAATTCCACCACTCAAAGATGTAATTACTGTTAATATTTTGATGTGTTTATTTCCAGACTTTTGTCCCATGTTGCCATTTTATTTTCCCTGATAGGCCCCGAAGTATCCAGTGCCCTCCGTGCAAGGGAAATCCAGTCTTGAGGGGGAGGGTTGCTGTTACCTTTACCCTTGGACCTCTCAGGCCAGCACCTGACCCCATCTGAGAAGGTCCCCCTCTCCCTAAATCTTCCCCATGCTTCTGCCAGTGGCCTGGCTTTGGGGCAATGATTACAGGTATCTGAGAGAGCATTTCAGAGAGGAGAAAAAAGGGAGGAAGGTCACAGCTGTGGTTCATTCTTCATGATGAGTAATCCAGAGTTTCTCAGCCTTGACACTATTGATATTTGGGGCTGAAGAACTCTTTGTTGTGGGGGCCTGTCCTGTACACTATAGGATGTTTAGCAGGATTCCTGGCATTCTCCCCCTTCTCCCCATCATGTCAATCAGAAATGTTGGTTGAGAGCCAGTGAGGTAATGGAAATCACTAAATTATTGCCGTCTTGCTTGGAGAGGTTCATATTCCAGTTTGCCTGTGGGAGAGACTGAGATGGAAAGAGAGGCATAAACTAAGCTAAGCTAAGCTAAGCTAAGGAAGCTTAGTCCTGGCTGTATCGTTAATTTACTGTGAGATTTTGGCAGACAGATTTATCATTTGGGATCGCAACAGGAAAAATCACAAAAATGAAAGGAATTTTTGAGGGGATTCTTTAGAGAAGAGTTGGTAGGATTCGGGGAACCAAAAAGGGATGATGAAGCACCCAGAGAAGAGCCTTGGTAGAGGGCCATCCCCACCCTGGTCTGATGGGGCAGGAAGGGACTGTGGTACCAGAGCTCGGGGGAGGTGAGTGGTTGGAATCGTGGAGGAGGGGCCGCTCTCCAGGGCTGCTGTGGCCGTGGCAGAATGCAGCCACTGCCAGAGCAGCAGTCCAGCAAGACGGGCAGGTGGGGAATAAGCACACTGGCCTCTCTCTTTCCCCTCCTCTAACCGCTGATCCCCTCCTCTGGCCAAAGCCAAGTGGAAGCTGCAGGGTGAAGGAGCCCTGGTGATGCAGCCTGGGGAGGTCAGCCAGCCTTCTGGGGGGGTGGGAGGGGGTCGGATGGAGAACCACCTTCAACAGGTGATCTGCTGTCTTCCTGCCTCTGCAGAATGAGGGTTTGGGGGCTCCACTTCTTAAGGGATACTGTGGGAGTAAAAGAAGATAGACAAAAAATGTTTTTGAAAAATAAAGCACACATACATGTAGGCCATTGCTGCTTTTGACCTCTGGCTCTGTTTCATGCAGTAATGTCAAGTTGTACTGTTTTAGCTACTGCAGGATTTTTTTTTCAGCTTTATTGAGGCATAATTGACCAAAAAATTCTAAGATACTTAAAGTGTACGATGTGATGATGTGATATACAGATGCATCATGAAAGAATTCTCCCCACTGAGTAAGTGAACACATCCATCTCCTCACGTACATTTACCTTTTATATATGTGTGTCAAAATGTTTAAGTTTTACTCTCTTAGTAACTTTCAATTACACAATACAGTGTCGTTAATTGTGGTCACCATGTAATACAGTAGGTCCTCAGACCTTATTCGTCCTTTCATCTTACACCTGAAAGTTTGTACCCTTTTACCAACCTCTTCCTGTTTTCTCCACACCCCACCTCCTGGGAATCACTTTTCTACCCTCTGTTTTTGTGAATATGACTTTTTTTTTCCCCGTTTTAGATTCCACATGTAAGTATACCACACAGTAGTCGTCTTTCTCTGTCTGGCTTATTTCACTTAGCATAATGCCATCTGGGTTCATCCATGTTGTCACAAATAACCGGTTCTCCTTTTTTAAGGCTGAATAAACTTTCATTGTGTGTGTGTGTGTATATATATATATATATATATTTTTTTTTTTCCTTATCCTTTCATTCATTGACCAACACTTTGCTTTTTTCCCTGTCTTGGCTTTTGTAAACAGCGCTGCAGTGAACATGGGAGTACATACATATCTCTCTGAGATAATTATTTTGTTTCCTTTGGATAAATACCCAGAAGTGGGATTGCTAGGTCATACGGTAGTTCTGTTTTTAATTTTGTAAGGAAACTCCATGTTGTTTTTCACAGTGGCTGTACCAGTTTACATTCCCATCAACAGTGCAGAAGGGTTCCTTTTCTCCAATCCTCACCAGCACTTGTTCTCTCTTGTCTTTTTTATAATAGCCATCCTAACGTGTGAGATGATTTCTCATTATCGTTTTGTTTGCCATTTCCCTGGTGATTATTGATGTTGAGCATCTTTTCCTGTACTTTTTGGCCATTTGTATGTCTTTTTTGGAAAAATGTCTGTTCAATTTCTCTGCCTATTTTTAAATGGGAACATTTGGGTTTTTTGCTGTTGAGTTGTATGCGTTCCTTATGTATTTTGGGTATTAACCCCTTACCAGATATGTGGTTTGCAAATATTTTCTCCCATTCCCTAGGTTGCCTTTTCGTTTTGTTGATGGCTTCCTTTGCTGTGCAGAAGGATGTACTCCCACTTGTTTATTTTTGCTTTTGTTGCCTTTGCTTTTGGTGTCAAATCCAAAAAAATCATTGCCAAGACCAATATCTAGGAGCTTACCCTTTTCATATTCACCTAGTAGATTTATGATTTCAGATCTTACATTCAAGTCTTTAATGCATTTTCGGTTGATTTTTGTGTCTGATGTAAGACACTGGTCCAGTTTCTTTTGCATGTGGCTCTCCAGTTTTCCAAACACCATTTATTGAGGAGACTGCCCCCTCTGCATTGTGTATTCTTGGCTCTTTTGTCAAAAATTATTTGACCATATATGCGTGGGCTTATTTCTGGGATCTCTGTGCTGTCTCATATCAGTGTGTCTGTTTTTATGCCAGTACCATACTGTTTTGATTACTATAGCTTTGTAATACAGTTTGAAATCAGAAAGTGTGATGCGTCCGGCTTTGTCCTTCTTGCTTTGGTTATTCAGGTCTTTTGTGATTCCATACAAATTTTAGGGTTGTTTTTTCTGTTTCTGTGAAGAATACCACTGGAATTTTGATAGGGATTGCGTTGGATATGTAAATTGCTTTGGGTAATATGGACATTTTAATAATATAAATTCTTCCAGTCCATGAGCACAGAGTATCTTTCCATTTATTTTTGTCTTCAATTTCTTTCATCAGTGTCATAGTTTTCAGTGTACAGGTCCTTCACTTCCTAGGTTAAATTTATTCCTAAGTATTTATTTCTCTTTGATGCTATTGTGCATGGGATTGTTTTCTTAATTTTCCTTTCTGTTATTTCATTGTTGTTGTATAGAAATGCAACTGATTTTTATATATTAATTTTTATCCTTCAACTTTACTGAATTCATTGATTAGTTCTAACAGTTA